TCCATTTTTTCATCTTAAAGTACCTTAAGATGTTTGCTTTCCCTTCATTATTTTTGATGCTACATATTTTTTAAATATGAAATATAATTTTTGGGATTTTGGTTCCATTTTTTTTTTAACTCACCCTGTATCAATCTTGAAGTATCGTGTATAACCACACACCTGAGACTACCGGCTTTTCTCAATTTGTGTTTTCATTTCCCGGACGAGCCCCCATTTGTCACATTCCCTGGTTTGCTCCTCCCCAAGAAATATAACCCTCAGTAGTCTGGTACACCGTCACACAAAATAAATTGTCGAGTGAATTGACAATTTATTTTGTGTGACAATTTATTTTGTGTGACGGGTGTACCAGACTTCTGAGGGTCATATTTCTTGGGGAGGGGCAAACCAGGGAATGTGACACTGACAGTTGGTTGCAATCTGTTCTGGGCCTGCACATTACTGATGACACAGGAAGTATTGACAATTCCCTACGTTAAAGTAAAATACTTCTCTATTCTTGATAATATGCTGTGAATGTTTCTCGTTACCAGTAAGGTGTTTCACAGTAATATGCACCAATCACAAGATGGAATTTTTGCAGATGAAAATTAGGTTTCGCCCTTCTCCGACGTGTATACACTGTTTACTCAGTGTGTTAAGGGCCTGTCACATTATATGCGATCTCATAGGAGACCTTACGGCGACCAAAAATATTTCATAAATTTAACAATCGCAATGACAATTTTCTGTATCAAAGAAGCTCAAGCTACGCTCATACTGTGCTCTCCCCACGCTTACGATGCGCTCAACTCGTCTATGCGCCCCTGTCAAGCTCAATTACTCTATCTAGTCGCTGCCACTGCGCTGTCACTGCGCTCACACTATGCTCTGCTCACTGTTGATACGTCCTTGTAGCTCACGTCGCGCTCTCTATTCGACCAAAATACGCTCATGGGACGTCACTTGCGCTGTATAAATACCACGACAAAATGGTCAATACACAGTCCAGTTTCAAAATTATTCTACAAGTTCATCGCAGTCGAGTTAGTTTCTCATGGAGACTACATCAACTGTCTTGCGCCTAGGCTGCCTCAATGCCACTTCAATGTCGCACAATTCACGCTCGCACAGCCCCTCGAGTTGCGTCATTGTGGCGCCTTGGCCAGAGCGCAGAGGTGTTGCGATTGTTTTGGGCATGTTCAAAGATCTTGGCGCTCATCGGAGACCATTAAGACCCTCCGGTGTCCATCTGGCAACCTATGTAGTTGTTGCTGCGATCTAGTAGTTGTTTTTGCACCCCAGCTATTTTTCAAGGACGCAGTAAGAGCGCACATAAGATCGCAGACAGTGTGACAGGGGCTTTACCTCCCGAGAGAAAGTTGCCTCATACACGAACATCAATGCATTGTGTACCGCGTGTGCAAGCACTGAGAAAAGAGAACATTGTTCTTGACAGCTTTCCAGTGACTGCTGACTCTCTGTGTATTGTGCATGCCCTTGGCTTGGTGGCTTGCTGCTGCTTGGCCTGGCAGCATGGTGCTCTTGGTCATTTTCTGCCAGCATGTGGAATCACATGAAGCTCAATCTGCTTCCCTGGCTGCAATGGTCGGCTGGGATTCCGTCTTGGGAAGCAACGACAGCACAGTTTGAGGAATGAGAAAGCCTTGACTACAGCTGCACGATAGTCAGCGTTAGTCAGCACTGTAGACGATGGAATTAATTGAGCTATTGATAAGTCTGAAGATTTTCTGCAAGTTCTAGATATTCAATAGCTTTGGCAGGCAAAGTAAAAGATGTTCCCAGAGTATAAATAATTGCAGCTGAAACGTTCAGTGAGTTCAGAATGAAACAAAATGGCAGTATTGATGATAACCATACAGAGGAGCTTGCCTGCTCGCTTGGGACAATTTGGCAACTGTGCTGATTGCTTGCACACTTTAACTACTACCAAGATGTACAAAGCAAGAGTGGCTACTAAACAGGTTGTGTTGGTAACAAAATTAATCCAAAAAAAGATGTCTTTAAAGAAAGTCTCTGGCAAGAATATTGGGATCACACCAACAATAATTGTTGGCACCCAGAGTCCTGCTGATATCTTTGCTGCTCGAGATTTAGAGGCTTTTTCCTTGAATGTCAGAGGATTGCGCACTGCAGAGAATCTCTCTACCGTTATTTTGTTTTACCGTTTTGGATTTCCTAAACAAAAAACCCTGTGAACGAACTATTGACCATTTTGTCGTTTTACAGTTTTGTAAAACGGTCAAACTGTATCAAGTCACACACAAAAAATACTTTTTGTTGTTGTTTTTAATTGTAGAAAGTGTTAAACGGTTAGTTGCTTTATTTTAGAGTGTTGTTTTACAAAATCATGACAATGACAAAATGGTCAATACTCTTGCCGACCATTTTTTTGATTTAGGTTCGGCAATTAAGCAATGCACCTAGGAATGTTAATGCATCCTTGGGATCGAGTCATTGCCTGGGCCCTCCTTACATTTTCGTTCTCATGACAGAATTTGCGAATTAGCTATTGAAGAGCCGCGTCGACTTAAACTCCAATTTCCTTCAAAATATCTGCAACTTCATCAAACGTCTTATATATACCATCCTGTATCCATTGTGAAAAGTAATGCCCTCCCTTGCAGTTTTCCAGCGCCATTTTTGCTTGCAACTCTTTAAGCCCCACCAACTGAATGGCATGAGAAGGGGGTCAGGGTCCGCGCCAGGAATCACACCACGCATTAATTATGCCGAGCTAACACTCGTGTAAAGCAGGGTCCCCCTCCACCCCCTTGCCCACCGCCACAAAATGCACCACGGACTGTTAACTATGACACTAAAATAAAAAACAGTGTGTATTCAATACTGACCGTTTTGCTGTTTTTCAAAGTTATTTGTGTAAAACAAAAATAATCGATCGTATTGCTATAATGAATTTTACTAAACTTATAAAACGGAGAAACCGTATTATGTTAATACCGTTTGTCGTTTTATAAAACTGTAAAACGACAAAACAGTCAATGGTTCGCTTACTGTTTTTGTTTTTGAGGAAATCCAAAACCGTAAAACGAAATAACGGTATGTCCCGGGATTTATTTGACACTCTGGAATGCTTTGTACACTTCGGATGAACACAATACAAATATACATTGAGTCATAAGGAAGAGCAAGTCAGCCACAGCCAGATTGGATAAGTAGATGTTGATGATTGTACGCATTGACTTCACTCGAATAACTGTGAAGAGAAAGACCAAGTTTAAGAGGAGGCCGATTGGTGCATTGATTTCAGTACTTAACCATAGTATTTGTTCATTTCTTTTGTGAGTCTTGATAAAGTTCTCAAGGTGCTTTTCAACTTCATCGTTCTCCATATCCAACATTTTATTCAGATGTAGCAAAGAGTGTTCTGTCCTATTTCAAGATCACTCCAGTTTTATCCTAACAGCGAATATAAGACCTGGAGCAATGTGTAGTTGAAACAAAAAGCTTCTGCATTTTTCCCTTAGTGTATTTTTATCTCTAAGACTTGTAAGGATTAGTTCTTTGTTCCTTGTTTTGAATGCATACTAAACCAAAGTAGACAATAGAGTTTCACAGTTGACTTTGGCATAGATGTGCTTCAGAATAACTTTTTATTTTCTCTTCAAGACTTTTTTACATGTACATTGCGTAATCCTTTACTAAGGTTTTGCTCATATCTAGCTTACTTAAAAAAAAGTGAAATGGCACTCTGCACTTTTTACAGAGTTTTACAGCTCATAAAAGATCACAGACATGAATTATCTGTAACTGAATAAAATTAGATGCAGATCAAAAAATGACACAAAATCTTTCAGGTTGTTCACTACATTTTGCTTACAACATATTTATTTATATCTCACATATAGAAACTTGACACAAGATTTAGATTTGGTGTTTGGATAATCAAGAAAGACATTTAAAATACAGATACAAATAGTCACTGCATCAACAAAGATTTAAAACCATGGAATTCCTACACTCTCTTGCTTGAAATTGAAAGTGTACTTAGACTTCTGCCATCAAATGTTATACTAAGAAATTACCCCTGAACTTTTCTTTTTGTTCTTGGCCCAAACTGATGACCAGCTTTGCCAACAGATTGGCTCCTGTCCGTACATTATTGATACTGATTGTGTGTGTGTGGGGGGGAACCAGCCTATCCAGCAAGAACAGAAATTATGTTTGGCAGCCAATAATTTGGAATTGTAAAGTAATAATTCAATAACTGAACGTGAGCTTTTTTGTGTTTGGTATTTCATTCAAAAGTGAATAACTTTTGTATTGCTTGAAAAATAGCAGATTGGTAAAGAAATCTGGTTTTTTGGGATGAAACTTGAAAATAGCACGGAACTTTAAGTAAATTAAGTACTTCATCTGGCATTTGTTGAGTAAAACTGTTATGTGGACAGTTTTCCTTGTTTTTTTCCCTAGAAGGTACAGCATTAAAGGTTGCATGTCTGTGTAGAGTGTGTGTGCGATTCACAGTTTCAGATGATTCTTATTTTATCTGATAAAGTGTCTAAGTTGAACACATTACCCTCATTGTTTCAAGCTTAATCTTTAATTTGCTCATGCACTACCAGAACTATGAACTGTAGTTAGGAGAATGGTTGTATGTAGAAAGATGACAAGTTCCACACATAATCCATTACCCTTTGGAGATACGGTGGACACAATACGAGGGCGCTATTTGGTTTGGGTCTAGTCTTTTGCATAAGTTACCCCAATATACCCAAATCAAATAACACCCTTGTATTGTGTCTGCCATATATCGCAAAAGGCTTATAGCAGTTGAGCTATTCACTTTTTCCAAAATTGTTAAGACTCTGAAATACTGAATGTGCTTTTCACATCTTTTTCCAATCTACAGGTTAAACAACATGGTGACTCCACTGTGGAACCAGCCGTATGAGGACCAGCTATCCACCAAACAGACCAACACCAGGGAGTTTCTGAGGAATTTATCCAAGATGCTGCAACGGAACATTGGGGAGATGTCTCCCTGGCTGAAGCAACAAAGGTGAGCTACCCGCCCCATGGTTGGGGGCTATAATGGAAATGTGATCTTCCTTGACAAGTAACTGTTTCCAGACACAGTTTTCTGGCAAGTGGACTTACATGTACAGCTGCCCTGAACATAATTTGTTAAAGCCCCAGAACATGTTTCCTCTTTTTCTTGAGAATCAGTTAAAACTCACCAAAGTTTTACCCAATTTTCTGAAATGAGCTGTCTTCCCGACACACAAAAGTCACAAAATTAAGAAAAGAGGAAAACCCAAACACAGAGCCAATCAATTCACAGCTGCTTGAGTGGGACTCGCACCGGCAACCAATGAGAGTTGAGGTGAACCCCAACCCCCTGCTTAGAGAGACTCTCTCATTCAGGGGCAGATTGAGACCAACTGTCCCTGGACTTAATGGCAAACTGGAAAAATACTGCTCATTGAATCCTGTCAACATGACTTTGCAAAGAAAATAGAGTAGTTCTGAGAGAAGCAAAGAGCAACCCTAGGCACTCTAAATTGAAAGTCAAATTTCAAATCATAGCATTTCTTTTTTTGTTTTCTTTTTTGGAGATAGAGCACACCTATCCACCAGTATTGGTGCTCAAGACACTACTTCATTAAGTTAAAAGTGCACATTGCTTAGAATGGACATAAAGTGTGTACACATGTAGATGCGCATGTGATGTGCCTGTCATGAACACTGCAACAGAAAGTTACAGAGTTTTTTTTTTCTCTCAGTAATTCCCCTAATTTCTTGTCAGGTCTTCATGAAACTTGGCTCTGGATAAATTGTGCAAACGTTTCAGTTTCATGTCTTATTATTTTCATTGACAGATAACACTGCTGGTTTCCGGCTTCGTGCTTACAAAGGTAAGTATTTCCTTTGAAGTTTCCTTTTTGCAAAAGACGTAGATCAGCTTTCAAGTTTGATTGGATCGGCTGTCAAGGGGCGTGGCCTATTGGTAGCTAATGCTGATCAACTCCAACCAATCAGAATGCAACACACAGAAAGATTGACAGGTGTACATATTGTGCATTGTCTAATATGTCTGTCAGGAATTAATTATTGAAAAGAAAGAAACAAGCTACAAAAGACTTAAACCCTTGTCATCCCCTTTGCTAACCAATATGTTGGCTTACTTTTGTGGCATGAATATTGAGGGTATAGGTTTGTACTTTCAACATTGACCAGCAAGCTCTTTTATTCAATAGGGATTTTTCAACAATTACATTTCTTCAAGCAAGAATTAGGTTTTAAATACAAAATTCAGGAAAATCACTGTTTGTTTAAATGTTGCTAGTGTACACTTTTATTTAGTTTATCACTGATCTTGCTTTTACACGCAAATTTGTTTGTCCTGTAAAAAGTATGTTGATTTTAGAAATATGGTTTGCCCTGCAATTTTTTCTCAGATATTACTAGGTATCAGAAAGACGTACAGTGTAAGAGCTCAAACACTGATTTGGTGATAGTACATTTCTGTATTATTTGTGTTTAGAGTTTTAAATTACACAAGGAAATCACAGCTTTAATGAACATATAAAAAAGCAGCAATTCCTCGGATACTGTGCAAATTAAGATACATCTTGTATGATGCTAACTTTGCAACGACATTCATATTTTACAGCATTGATTTTTCAATTACCCAAATTTGAAGTACCCTTGAGTCCATCTATAAGAAATATTAGAATATTGCTTTGCATTTAAACATCATACAGACATGGAGCTCATAATGTAATACAACAGACTAGTGGTGCTACACAGATTATGTACAATTATAGAGCATGCAAGTCTCGCCAGTTCACATTCACTTTTCATGTGAGCATCTTGGTACCAAACACTGACTAGTCTAGCCACGGACTCCCGTATTTTTAATTCACCCAATTCACCCAATGAACGGATGTGGAGGTCAACAATTTTTTCAATTTACTATAGTAATCAACTTGCAATATTTTTTGAATGTGTTGTAAATTGGAATGTTCTTTTCTTGTTCAGAACCCATTCTTTACCCTTGACTGGATAAACCTAGTAAAATCACCTAGGTTTTTGAGGTCAACTTGCACGCTCTATTGACAGAAGTGGGGAACACATTGCTGACTTTAGCCCGGTTCATACTTCACACGAAAGCATGTGTGAAGCAAAATTCATGTCGTCAACAATGGTGGACGCCCTTTGAATGTATTGTTGACGTCAAGAATTTCGCTTCGCTTTCGCGTGAAGTATGAACCGGGCTTTTAACTATCAACTACATTTTTTTCCAGCTAGTAGCTGTGTAGACACCTTTAATACACCAGACTTAAATCCCATACTGTACATCTAAAGCCTACAATGGTCTCGTATATTATATATCTGTGCTCTGCAGCAAAAAAGTCTATACAATGGATTTCTCCTTGCTAAAGGATTTTTCAAGAAACTTCGAAAAACAAAACCAGCACTTTATATGGTCTTCAAAAAAGTTATCCACATTGCGCAACATGTATGTAAAAAGATTGGTATACATTTGGAATCAGATGCTCCTAATGCATAACTTGCAACTTTGTTGATCTGTTACTTAGGCTGTGTCTGAAACGGGCTTCTAGAGCTATGGCTACGGCTATTGTCAGATTGTTCCCATGTAATTGTTTTGGGTGAAGACCTAGACAATATAGCTCTAAGCCATATCAAGTTTTTTAATTTGTTCATTTGTGCATCAGGTCTTGACCCACAAGATAACCATTCCACCAGCACCTCTGACGTACCAGTGACTGGCGCTGCCATAACGGATCCTTATCACTATCTGACGCAACAGCACTTCACCTCAGAGATCTTCAAGATTGAGATCCAAAACCTCCCAAGACATTTTGGACTGGTGGTGAGTTTGCTCCCTAAATATTGAACCCTCGATAACAATAACCATACAGTTTGTGCCTTCTTAGGAGTATGTATGTATTGTGCTCCATGCTTGGGATTTGTCAAGGTCTGTTAATAACAGAATCAAAAGGCTGTAAAGTGAATTTCACTAAAACATGAAATATCCCAGCCCTGTGTTTGTATGAAAGTAATGACCACATTTTACGCACACTTTTTTGCAATGCCCGTGCACATGTTCACAGTTGTTTCTAATGTTGCTGTGATGTTGATTTAGGTATTTTACACTTCACAGCTTTGGGATTTTCTGTATAATTTATGAACCTAAAATTCATTGCATTGTACATGTGTAAAAGTTTGTACATTTAAGTATCTCACTGGCTGCATGCTATGTGCTAATGCACGCAACAGTCACATCAAACTTGATCAAAACACTTTTGTTACATTTTGTCCCCTCAAACAGCAGTGACACTGAAGTTCCAGCTCATTACATTGCTGTATTGCTCGTGAATATGGAATATTTTAAAGCCTGAAACATCTAAAGACTTGGAATAGAGTTCCTAAAATAAAAACCTATTTACAGTGGAAAAAATTCAGGGTTATCCATATGTTAGTACTATTACTTGTATATTTCACACTGAAAAAAAGTAACAAACTTGCTCATTAAAAGGAAGGGTAGATCATTTGTCATTTGTGCATTTTTTTTCATTTGAAGCATCAAAAGTGCTCAAAATATGAAAACGGGTGCTTAATAATTAATACGATGAAGTTTTAACTCTGTGAATGCAGTATCTTCCGAGAAAACTATAGTCAAGGATCTCGGGTTCAATTCAAAAGTTGCTGAGTCACGTTTTATATTGCGTCCGAATTCAGCCCCAGGGACACATTCTCATTCAGTCAATTGCAGCTACGTGATGTCATGCACTGAACTGATGAATAATAGCAACCTAGTGTGCGTGTGCGTCGTGTCGACGCTTGCGCGCACAAATTCTTAGATTCACCGAATTTACAAACCAACTACATGAACTAACATGATGCATCGTTGAAAATGGCTTTCTTACATTGTTGCCTTCAAAATGACTGCTTGCCTGAAAGAATGATTTCACAGGGAGTTTAGTGCCATTAAAACCAAAAGCCTTTTAACAATAATTTTGTCAGTTACTTTTTTGATAGCTGCAAATGATCTACTCTACCTTTAAACACGAACAAAAGTTTGATTCAAATAATTAAACTATTTGTTAATTTCTGAACCTTTTACATAAATACATGTACATGTACATTGCATGAATACCAGGTTTTCCCTTTACTGATAGTTGGTTGCAATCTGCTCTGGGTGAGCCTGCACATTACTGATGTCATGGTGCGTACATGTATTGGCAATTCGCTGAAGTAAAACACATTTCAACTCCAGCATATTGTGTTGTTAATGTTTCTCGATGTCAAATCTACTTAATTAGCATTCCAATGAAGAAGATGTATGAAACGGCCTTAAATCTGCTCTACACTTTGAACACAGCAAGTTCAAAAGCAGCACTCACTCTACACACTGCTGCCCTTAAAGACAGCTTGCACTTATCAGGTACCAGTGAACATTGTTCTTGACAACTTTCCAAAGATTAAATCCCTTCTGGTTCTGGATGTGCATACTGCTGCCCTTGTGCTGATGGCTCAGTGCCAGTCAGCCCAGGACATTGTTCCTGACTACTTGCAAGTGACTGCTGGCTCTCTGCTGGTTCTGGATGTACACACTGCTCCCCTTGCATGGAAAGCTTGCAGTCAGTCGGAGTAGAGCATTGTTCCTGATGAGAACTTGCAAGCACTGGGGTCCCAGCTGGTTCTGCATGTACCTCAACATGCACTTGAACATGCTGCTGACTGTGCATGGATGCCTTGCTGCTGCTTTGCCTGGAACATTGTTCTTGACAGCTGTCCAGTGACTGCTGACTCGCTGTGTGTTGTGCATGCCCTTGGCTTGGTGGTTTGCTGCTGCTTGGCCTTGCAGCACGGTGCTCTTGGTCATTTTCTGCCTGTGGAATCACACAAAGCTCAATCTGCTTCCCTGGCTGCGATGATCGGCTGGGATTCTGTCTTGGGCAACAACGACAGCACAGTTTCAGGAATGAGAAAGCCTTGACTACAGCTTCACGAAAGTCAGCGTTTGTGGCACTGTAGACTAGGGAATTTATTGAGCTATTGGTCAGTTGCAAAATTGCAATGCATATAGACAGAATATTTATTGTCTCTGCAAGTTCCAGATTGGCAACAATCTGAGCAGTTGAAGTAACCTTTGATGCCACTACAAGTACATGAATTATCATAATTGCAGATGCAGTGTGTAGTGAGTTCAGAATGAAGAAAACAGCAGTGTTGATGATAACCATGCAGAGGACCTTGCCTGCTTGCTTGGGACGGTTTGGCAACAGGGCTGATTGCTTGCATACTTTCCATACTACATAGATGTACAAAGCAAGAGTTGCTATCAAAGAGACAATGTTGATAATGAAAAGAATCCCAAAGTTGACTTTAGCTAAGACAATGTCTGTTAATGGTAAGAAAATCAGAATCACAGCAACAATTATTGTTGGCACCCAGAGTCCTGCTGATATCTTTGCTGCTCGAGATTTAGAGGCCTTTTCTTTGAACGTTATAGGATTGCGCACTGCAGAGAATCTCTCACCTGCTATGGTAACCACAAAGAAATTAGAAGTAGCGAGGAACGTGCTTTGGAAACTGGATATTGCCTTTTTGACCAATAAGTTGGACTCTGGTGAAAACAGTGCAATTATGAAGTAAGTTATAAGGAAGAGTGAGTCAGCCACAGCCAGATTGGATAAGTAGATGTTGATGATTGTACGCATGGACTTCACTCGAATGACTGTGAAGAGAAAGACAAAGTTTAAGCAGAGGCCGATTGGTGCAATGATTTCAGCACTTAACCATTTCATTTGAGAAGTTCTTTCTCCACTCATGTAAAAGTTCTCATGATGCTTTTCAACTTTACATGATGGAGTGGAGCTGTTTTGGTAGCCATCACCCATAGTTCATGCACAATGTAGCATTGAGCTCCGTGAGCTACATTTTATTCAGATGCAGCAAAGAATGTTCTTCTCTATTTCAAGATCACTCCAGATTTATACTTACAGGGATTGTAAGACCTTGAGCAAAGTGGAATTGAAACAGAAAGTTTCTTGTTCTTTTCCTTCTTTTTCCCCCAACATTTCTGTCCGATTTTAATGCATGTGACTATCTTGTGGTATCAGTTCCTGTAACCAAAGCAGATGCATGTGAGTCAGTTTCACTACTTGCACTGACATGAATCTGAGAATTGAATCTGTTTCAGTTTGAATGATTGGCTCCAGATTAAACATGCATATTGTGTGCATGTAATTGTGTTTTTTTATGCAAGTTGTCCCTTCACAAGGCATACATGCCACTCAATGTGAGGGCTACCGCACAAGAAGAAAAGACAGGGAAAAAAAGAGGATGATAGAAAATGAAGACAATTAAGTTAAGTGTGTGAGAGATGCATGTTCACATTGTGTATACAGGGTGAGTTAAGAAAGTGACCAGCACTCAAGATTTTTTTTTCTTAAAAAGCAATCAAATTAGATACACCGAAGAAGTATGTCTTAAAAGAGCATGTTTTTCCAGACATCTGAAAAAACACAATTACTAACATTGATCCATGCCATCTGAAGTTATGCATGTTTTACTAAAAATGAAACCATTTGTGAAGCTGTGCAAGGAATGCGATAATAATGAAAGCTAAATGAGCTAAGTGAGAATTACAGATTACACACAAGCATTCAAATACAAGTGAGAGTTTAATGATTGAAATCAAGACAATTTTCACTATCAGATTGTGTGTTTTGAATATGAGAGACAAGTCAACTCTGTTTTTTTTTCTTCGAAATATCGAAGGTGATTTTTGTATCTTTTCCTTTGCAAGTTCTTGTTCATTCATGGAAGTGGGAAAACGATGGATTTTTCATTGTCCTCAATGGGTACATGTATTATCAGTTCGCAATATGGTCATTGATAAGTGGTGGACAGCTAAGTTTTGTGATCATTTTCTAGAAATAGACATGAATTGGAAATAGAGTATGCAATTTAAGTGAAATTTTCACAGTTAATAGTCAATAAGATGTACTTTACCCGTATTTTATTGAAATGGAACGAACATTTTTTTCAAATTCTGTCACTTTCTTTTTGACTCATCCTGTAGTTGGTTCAACCGGTCACGTGGGAATAAACTTGATGAATACATCCTGAAAATGGCTTTGGGGATAATGACAGTATATGGATGTGATTGGACGGAGGAGCAGGTAGTTCGTAGTTGGTTTCAATTTGGTCATGTTACTGATGACGGAAAGTAACATTCACTCAAAACATCTTTAAGCACTCATTTTACTTTGTACAAAGTTATATAGATGTTGACAACAGCAAAAAAGAGGAGATTTTCTTTTCCATCAATCCTTGCTGTTGTTTTCCCAAAATGAATTGTGTTCTTCCCCTGGATGTTGATTTATTCACCCATACAACAATTCTGTACTTCCCTTCTTTTTGATATTCAATTTGATCTGATAAGCAATGAAGTCAAATGAAAGTTTTATTCACAAATCACAATTTGATTTCTGTTCATCTGTTGCTTTTTTTTTCTTTCCTGGGCGAATGTTGGTTGTCATCTGATAAGAGTTTTTTTCACTTTCTGGTGTTGTTGTTATTTGAAATCAGTCTCTGCCTTGCCTGACAATCCTGTTGATGTTGTCATATTCTCAGTGTTGTTGATGGAACATCTTTGCAAGACAATTTGCAAGGACTAACTACTTGGTCTGAATGTGAACCCAGAGCCTTCTGCTTAGAGTGCAGGCA